AGGGGTTAAAAAAAAGCTTGTCACTGAATCGGCTTGTTCCTTACACCATCTTCCCCCATGACAGTTTAAATTTAGTTACGTATATAATGGAATAAATTATTTTGTTTCGTCTTCAACAATATAAAAAAAATAAATCGCATCGAGTTCAAACTTTTTTAGAAAAATTAGGAAAAAAAATAAAAAAATTTAAAACTGTTTAAAAACATCTAGATGGCATGGGCATGTGACTGAAGTCAGAACGAATCTAAAATTAGATTCCTTGTGTCCGAGTGGTGTCGGACAAGCTCAGGTCGGTCTCTGAGCTACCATCGTTAAAGATACATCTGCACCTACCAAAGATTTATCAGGGTTAAAAAGAATATTAAAAAAAGCAAATGTAACAAATAACGCTCGAATAGATTTGAGAACCAGTGGCACTTTATGAAAAACCAACACAGCAGGCTGCCCCCAGAAAAGCGTGCCACCGGAACAGGTTTCCTACAAAAATAAATTGTGGCGGAAACGGAAGAAACTGACTTTGAAAAACAATGAGTGGAAATTTACCAATTTGAAGCAGAATTGAAAATGAAAGTAACTAAAGCCTGCATGAAACTGTAAATGTGATGGAAGGGGTTGGGCCTAGAAGGACATAGCAAACACTGACCTTGCATCTGAATTGATCAGTTAAGCTATGTTTACTTTTCGGCTGAAATTCTTGAGAAAGTAAATATTATACATTACAGATAACCCTGCAGATTAAGGTTTTACCCTGGTAAACAAGTTAGTGGCATTAAGACCTTTTCTGGACTAGATGCGCATGCATATAAGAAACCGTGCAATGGAAGAAGCACTTTTAAGGCTACATCGATACGAAATTATCATGGTCTCCATAGAAATTGACGGAATTGACTGAGGAGCTGGTATCATGGGGTCCAGAAAAAATTGATAGGGGAGCTGCATGGGCGCCCGCAGGGGGGGGGGGCAAGGGGGGAACTTCCCCCCCCCCCGGATTGATTGGATAAAAATTTTTTAGAAAAAAATAGACAAAAAATTTATTAAAGTAAAGAGAATATAAAGAGAAAGTAACTAAGCTGATGTCCTGTCCGTTCGTTCACCATACAAATACGCTACAGTAAATTAAAACTACATTAAAACATTACTAAAAAATTCCCCCCCCCCTGGAAAGTTAATCAATTTTTTTGCCCCCCTCCCTAGAAAGTTTTCTGCGGGCACCCATGGGGAGCTGGTATCATAGGGTTCAGAAGAAATTGACAGAGGAGCTGGTATCATGGGGTCCAGAAGAAATTGACAGAGGAGTTGGTATCACGGGGTCCAGAAGAAACTGACAGAGGAGTTGGTATCATGGGGTCCAGAAGAAATTTACAGGGGAGTGGGCATCATGGGGTCCCGAAGAAATTGACATGGGAGTGGGTATCATGGGGTCCAGAAGAAATTGACAGAGGAGTTGGTATCATGGGGTCCAGAAGACATTGACAGGGGAGTGGGCATCATGGGGTCCAGAATAAATTGACAGGGGAGCTGGTGTCTTTGGGTCCATAAGAAATTGACAGTTGAGTTGGTATCATGGGGCCCAGAGGTAATTGACAGGGAACTTGACTCACCGTGCAAGCATAAAACAGAAAACGAGAGGGCAATGATTGAGTCTACTGATCGCTATCACTCTGGGCTACAGATGAGAACAAGAGCCACCAAGGAAGTAGCAGATATCTTTGACACTGTTCAAGCCAAGGTTCTACCACCTTCCACTGAACAAGAGTTACCGCTGTCTATTTCACAAATGACCACACGCTATGGTGAGAATGTGAAAAGCTGATGGAAATTCCAAGGCTGGGAAAGCACGTAAAAATGCAAGTGATATTTTTAACGAAGCTTAAGTTTGATCAAGATTTGTTAAATGTGTGTGATGTTCTAAGAATTCTTGGATAAATAAGAATTTTTGTAGACTATCTCCCAATCCTCATTACAATTGCAGTTAACTATCACTATCTGTTGCGGTGAAGTTTTGAAAACTAAAAGCTGATAAAGTGCTATTACATGCTTCCCGATCTTGCGATGTTAAAAAGTTTATTATGGTAAATAATTTTAATTTTGATTTTATGATGACAAGTGTGAAGCTTGTGGAGCTTGAAGACCAGGAAAGACAATTTTTAACAACATAAAAATCAGCGAATTATTAGGAGTAGGGTGAATAATCCTTGTTTTATAGAAACAAAATGATTTATTTCCCTTTGCTTCACTTTTTTTTTAACTGTGACACTCATGTGGCAATATAATAGCTATTATTATACCGTTAAATTGAACTTATCTTGTTATAAATTATTTAAATCGTATGGCTTATCTTTCACAAATTTGTTTCATTTTGTTTGGCCAATAACTTCTAGATATTTAATGATTATTTTTTGTGCAAAAGTGCAGTTTTCATAGGATTACATGTTTATGACCATTTGCCATCCCCCCCCCCCCAACCCCGGCCACCCTCACCCCCATTTCTCTGCTTGATTTCTGTTGAATGGGTGTATGTATGTGTTTTTATTCCACATTTCACCAGATTTATTTGAGACAATTAAAGTCTTATGATTTAACAACGAGAGATAAGGTTAAATTTTTAAGGTTTAGAAAAAATATGGGCCTTGGCATATAAAAGCAGACCAATTACGCCAAATATCATTAATATGAAATAAATGAATTACCAACAGAAATAAAAGAAAGAACATCGGCCAGAAACAGGGCACACTTCAGTCGTCATAAAATACTCAAAAGTAAAAATATTACAAATTTAAAAAAATTATATATATATATATA